TAGCTTCGATTTGCATTTTCCTAATTATTAGTGACATTGAGCATTTTTTCATGTTCTTATTGGCCATATGTGTATCTTCTTTAGAGAAAAGTCTATTCAAATCCTTTGCCCATTTCTACATTGGGTTGTTTTGCTTTGTTGTTGTTGTTTTTGGAAGTTCTTTGTATATTCTGGGTATTAATCCCTTATCAGATATATGACTTGTAAATATTTTGTTTTATTCCGTGGGTTGCTTTTTTACTCTGACGGTGTCTTTTATGCACAAAAGTTTTTAAATTCTCATCAAGCCCAATTTGTCTAGTTTTTTCTTTTGTTGCCTGTGCCACTGATGTCATATTCACAAAATCATTGCCAAATTCAGTGTTGCTAAGTTTTTGCCATATGTTTTTTCCTAAGAGTTCGTAATTTAATTCTTACATTTAGGTCATGATCCATTTTGATTTAATTTTTGTATGTGTTGTAACAGTCCAACTTCATTATTTTGCAGTGGATATCCAATTTTCCTAGCACCATTTGTTTAAAAAACTGTCTTTATGCCAATAACACACTTGTTTTGGGTAATGTAGCTTTGTAGTAAGTTTTGAAATCAGGAGTGAGTCCTTAAACTTTGTTCTTTTTCCAAAATTGTTTTGGCTATTTGAGAGCCCTTGTAATTCCATATGAATTTTAGGATGGAGTTTTCTATTTCTGCAAAAACATCATTGGGATTTTGATAAGGATTCCATAGAATCTGAAGATTGGTTTATATAATATTAACATCTAAACAATATTGTCTTCTAATCCATGAACATGAGATGTCTTTCCATTTGTCTTCTTTAATTTCTTTTAGCAATGTTTTATAGTTTTAATTGTACAACTCTTTTACTTTCTTGGTTAATTCCTAAATATTTTTTTTGTTCTTGATGTTACTGTAGACGGAATTGTTTTCTTTTTTCTTTCTTTTTTTGAGAGGGAGTCTTGCTCTGTTGCCCCGGCCGGAGTGCAGTGGTGCGAGGCACAGTCTTGGCTCACTGCAACCTCCACCTCCCAGGTTCAAGGGAGTCTCCTGCCTCAGCCCCTTGAGTAACTGGGATTACAGGTGCCTGCCACCACATGTGATTAATTTTTGTATTTTTCATAGATACAGGGTTTTGCCATGTTGGCCAGGCTGGTTTCAAACTTCTGACCTCAAGTGATCCACCCATCTTGGCCTCCCAAAGTGCTGGGATTACAGGTGTGAGCCACCGTGCCTGGCTGGAATTTTCTTAATTTCCCCTTTTGGGATAGCTTCATTGTTAGTGAATAAAAATGCAATTGATTTTTGCATGTTGATTTCATATCCTCCTACTTTCATATCCTCCTACCTTGCTGAATTCATTTATTAGTTATAACCATTTTTAAATAGAATATTTAGTGTTATCTATATGTAAGAGCATATCATTTGTGAAGAGATAATTTTACCTCTTCCTTTCCAATGTGGATGGCTTATTTTTAAATTATTTTCTCGCTTAATTACTGTGGCTAGAACTTCCAGTGCTGTGTTGAATAGGAGTACGAAAGTGAGCTTCCTTGTCTTGTTCCTGATTTTGTAGGATAATCTTTCAGTTTTTCACCATTGAATATGATGTTCACTGTGTTTTATACACGTCTTTTATTATGTTGAGGCAGACCCCTTCTATTCCCTGCTTGAGTGTTTTTGTCATGAAAGGGTTTTGAATTTTGTCAAATGCTTTCTCTACCTAAATGGAGGTGATCATAAAGTTTTTTCCCTCCATTCTGTTACTGTGCTGTATTACATTGATTTTTTTTCCTCAACTGCTATTGATTGATTTTCATGTGTTGAATTATCCTTGCATTTCTAGGAATAAATTCCACTTGGTCATGGTGTATAATCCTTTAATTATGCGACTAAATTCAATTTGCTAGTATTTTATTGAAGATTTTTGCATCAAAGTCATAAATGATATTGATCTGCAGTTTTCTTCTAGTGTCTGTGTTTGGCTTTGGTGTCAGAGCAGTGCTCGCTTTATAGAGTGATTTAGAGTTTTCTTTCCTTTTCAGTGTTTTGGAAGAGTTTAAGAAGGACTCGTGTTGGTTCTTCCTTAAACATTTAGTAGAATTCATCAGTGCAGCCACCAGGTCCAGGGCTTTTCTTTGTCAAGAGGTTATTTTTAGATTACTGATTGAATCTCCTTACAAATTACAGGTTAATATGGTTTGTCTGTGTCCTCACCCAAATCTCATCTTGAACAGTAGCTCCCATAATTCCCACATGTTGTGGGAGGGAGCCGGTGGGAGATAATTGAATCATGGGGGCAGTTTCCCCCATACTGTTCTCGTGATAGTGAATAAGTCTCACAAAATCTGATGGTGTTATAAGGGATTTCTCCCTTCACTGTTCTTTCATTTTCTCTTGTCTGCCGCCATGTAAGACACGCCGTTTGCTTTCTGCCATGATTGTGAGGCTTCCCCAGCCACGTGGAACTGTGAGTCCATTAAACCTCTTTTTTCTTAAAAAAACAAAAAACCCAGTCTTGGGTATATCTTTACTAGCAGCGTGGAACAGAATACTACACAGGTCTATTCATATTTTCTATTTCTTCATGATACAATCTTGGTAGGTTTTTTGTTTCTAGGCATTTGTTTATCTAGTTTGTCCCATTTTTCGGCACACAATTGTTCATAGTACTCTCTTATAATCCTCTTTATTTCTGTAGAATTGATGGTAATGTTCCCATTTTCATTTCTGATTTCAGTAATCTGAGTCTTTTTTTTCTTAGTCAATTTAGCCCAAATTTTACTAATTTTTGTTAATCTTTTTAAGAACCAACTTTTGGTTTTGTTGATTCCATTTTTCTGTTTTATCTGTTTTGATTTTGTATTATTTTATTCCTCTGCTAGCTTTGTGTTTGCCATTGGTTCTTGATATTTAATGTTAACATGTTTTACTTTTTTATAAATCTGTTAATATTCCAACTGTTTTTTAATATAATTGCTTTCCTTTGTAATCCTGTTTTAAAACACTTGAAAACACTGAAACGACATAGGCTTCACCACACTTGCAAAGGTGCCATAGCACAAAAAAGGTTAAGATTTTTACTCCTATTTAGAACCCCCCTTCCCAAACCCCCAATTTTCATTACATATACTGCTATTTTCCTCTTAGATCACTGGTTTTTAGACACATAAATATCCCTGTTGTTCCTTGAACAGAACAAAGCATAACTTCTACTCAGGTGCAGGGGCTCATGCCTGTAGTCCTAGCACTTTGGGAGGCTGAGGTGGGCAGATGTCTTGAACCCAGGAGTTAGAGATTAGCTTGGACAACATGGGGAAACTACATCCCTACAAAAAATACAAAAATTGGCTCACTGCCAACCACTTCCACCCAAGTTCAAGGGATTCTCGTGCCTCAGACTGCGGAGTAGGCTGTGATTACAGGCACCTGCCACTATGCCCGGCTAATTTTTTGCATTTTTAGTAGAGACGGGGTTTTGCCATGTTGGCCGGGCTGTTCTCGAACTCCTGACCCAGGTGATCCGCCCGCCTCGGCCTCCCAAAGTGCTGCGATTACAGGCATAAGTCACAGCGCCCGGCCATCTCCACCTTTTCTTATCTCTCAAAAGAAATAACATCTCTGGCTTTATGTAGAATAGTGTATACTGCCACATCAGTGTTTGAGTCATTCCCCAGAGGAGAGGGGAACTACCCCTCCATTTTTTTTTTTTTTTTTTGGCAACATCTCATCTTCCTTTTGCTGTTGCTTCCCCCCACACACACTTGGTTTTCTTCTATCCTACACTTCAGATTTCTGTTTCGTGTTTTTTTTTTAATATTGAAAAGATGACACTGCCCCAAGAAGCAAAAATAAATGGGAACTGAAAAAAATTTTCTTAAAAAAATTTTTATTTATTTAATCTCTTAAATCACCTGGAATGAATATTATGTCAACTGGGAGCTTAAATGCTTAAATGTATTTTACCCCAAATGGTTAATCCTCCCAATAGCACTCATTTGAATAATCTGTCCTTTTCTCCATATATGTTACATGTCTTTTACAAAATACAGCCTATTTGGGGCATGTTTCTGGGCTTTTGTTCTATTGAGCTGTCCATTTGCTTACACCAGAAATGCCAGTTTATTTTTTGTAGTTTTCCAATCTTTCAATTTCTATCAGTGTTTATTTAATTTAACATTAATCCACTGTATTTGTATTTTTTCAGTGGTGGTAAATGGAAAAAATTAAAAATCTAATGAAAGCAGCCAAAAAGCACACAATTTATGTCCTGTTAAGACTTCTGCATGCAAGTATCATGCTCCAAATATATTTTTCATCTTTACTTTTTCTGACGGAAAGGGCTCAAGTACTTTGGGAAGCAAAACAGAATTGACAGACCCCGAAAAGATACACAGCAGGCATGTAGGGTAGCGTGGGTGGCAACTGTTCTTACATAATTTTAATTTGAATTAAACGTAATGTAACTAATAACTTTTTAGATTTCCCTTTGCCATAAACAGGGAATATAACTAACATCAAAGATTCCAGACTCTCGACACAATATACTACTAATCGTAACACAGTTCTAGAGAATCAAAAAAGGTAGAGACGTTTAGACCGCGGAACAGACCTGGTGGAATGTCGACCCAAAGCGTTTCAGGGTAGACAAAGCCTGCTGAGAACACCCTAAACGCGGAGTTTTGCTAAGTAGGGGACGCTGAAAGGCAAGGGAGCGACAGGAAGCCCGCAGGCTAATTCGCCATTAAGAAACAGAACCGTGGCTTCTCCCACCTCCAGCGTCATCGGCCCCCAATCCACTGTAACAAACGGATAGTGTCTCGCACCATCAGACAAGGGACTTGGAAATCACTTTGAGACCACGCATCTGCGCCTCTTCTAACAAACGAGGAAGGAGGGTCCAAGCGCGGTAACAACATACTTCACAGGGCGCACTGCAAACGCCCTCCCTGCAGCGGAACAGTTATCTCGCGAGACGACGGGTCCCCAGAAGTCACAAACCTAGCGCCAAGATTGGCTGTCAAAGTAGAGTCCAGGGTGCGGAAGTGGCTTTGTGGTGCCACCTTTGGCCGCTCAGAGGTCAACACCCATTCTACACCGAAAACTAGGCCTTGGCTGCTATGGAAGGACAGCAGGGGGAAAAAAGCCACGCAACCCTAACACTCGCCCAGGCTCATTTCAACAAGGGCGAGTACGCGGAGGCCGAGACGCTGTACTCCGCTTACATTCGCCAGTGCGCCTGCGCGGCCTCCAGCGGCGAGAGTCCCGGGAGGTAACTATCGCGAGACCTGGGGCCGCCGCGATCCCGGGTGGAGGCGACGTTGCGGCTCTCTGGGCTCGTGTTTTCGCTGCTGGAGCTCACCGGCGGCGAGTGTCGTAACCCAGCACTAGGACTGAGCGGGCCGACGTTCGTCTTTCTAGAAAGGCCTAGGCGAGGCCTAGGATGAGGGCGGCGGAGAACGCGGGGAGGGAGCCCACCCGCGAAGAGCCGTCTGCCGCGACGGTGCGGGGAGCTTCCGGGAACCGAACTCCCTGAGGGCTCCTCGGACGCGGGCCGCCGCTTTTCACCCCGCCGTCTCTCCTTCCACGTTCCTCATTCCCACCCAAAGACTTAGGACAGATAGGGATTTTCCACTTGTGATTTTAGCTGGCGGGAAATCCGCGACCTGGGAAGGGAAGGGGTCACGGCTGCGTAGGGCCACGGTACCGCGACTCCCATCTCAGTGTCACAGCGCTGGCTTTTGGTGGTGGTATGAAAAACGTTTATGTAGAAAAGAGCATAACGAACGTCTAGGTGTTTATCGCTTGGCTTAAGCATTATCAGTTTGCCCATAGTATTCATCCATGGGTGTTTCAGAAGGAACTTCCGTATCATCGAATAGTTACTTAATATCAAGTAGTCAGTGTTGGAACCTTTCTGATCGACTAATAAGGTTTTTTGTTCTTTGGTTCGCTTTTCGCAGTTGGTTCAAGTCAGGATACACAGCAAGTCTTTTTAAGTCTCTCCACCTTCTCTTCCCAACACAGTTTTTCCTTTGTTAAGGAAACCGATTCTTGTGTCCTTTGAGATTCCGCGTTTTGGACTTGCTGACTGAATCTCTTCTGTCATTTAATGTGGTCATCTGTCTCATACTGCTGTGAATTGGTAGTTAAACCTTGAGGTTTGATCCAATTGAATTCAGATTCAGTATCATGGCAAGACTACTTTTTAGGTGGGTACACGTGTATACTTTCACCAGGAAGCACATAATGATTGGCTAGCTTTCCTTTTGTGATGTTAGCAGATTCACCTGCTACTATCTGCTTACCCAAAGCATCTTTTCGGCTTGTGCCTGGATGTGTAGCATTTGTTTATACTCCAAGTCTTGCTTGATGGGGCTTGTTGATGGTACGGAGTGGACCAGGATGAGAAAAGAACAGAGGGGTTGATTGAACAGCTTTTTGAACAGTTGTGAGTTGTCTGTTGTGGAGTTGAGTTTTCTAGACAGGATGCCAGCTTGTCTTTTGTATGAGGCTTCACTGAGGACTTGATTCTTACCCTGTTTGTTACACTTGTATGAAATTAAACCGGAAAGATAAAATTACCTTCTCATTTCAATAACACACGAGAATAATAATAGACGTTTCTGAACAGATAATAAGATGATACCATCTACTTTCCTCAATGCACCTTTAGAAAGCTAAACTATTCATGTTTCGAGCTCTAATAGACTTATCTAGTAGATTTAAAAAAGTATTCATAAGCACCAGGTATACTGATGCTGTCTAGTCTTGTTATTCTTCCTTCTTTGCACATCTCAGCCTAAGAACACAAGTGTCGGTAGCAAATGTAATAGCTATGCCTTACCAGCACAGGAAAGACAGTTTGTCATAGCCCAGTTGAAGGGATTTGAATTCCAGTCTTGGCACTGCCACATGGCTAATGTCTCAGCCTGTTTTTCATCTGTAAAATAAGCTTTGGTAAAATTCTAGGAACTCATGGATTGAAACTGAATTCTGTCATTTCAACTTTTTCCCTTCGATTTATATTCTGGAGCTTACATTTATTTTTTAAGTATTGGGTCACTGAATCATTTTGAAACAATATTTGCAATTTTTGAATGCCTTGCGTTTTGAACAGTTTGTGATGTTTTCTTTTAATATCTAAAGTATAGCTTTAGTCATAAACCTAATTTCCAAAATACTATTTTTTTTGCGAAAGTTAGCAAATCCTAAAAATTCACATTTGGGCTAGGTAACTTAAATGAATTCCATTATAATAAATGCTATCATTACAAAAATTTTAATATTACAAAATATTTCAGCTTCAACTGTTGGTCCATTTCTTTAAAATATGAAACAAAATTTCCACATGAAAAAGCCTTTTAGAAGTTGATTTAATAAGATCTAATTCTAAATCTAACATTTTATGATACTCTGAATATATTACGAATATATAATTAGTATTAAAAACTTATAACAATAATTCTGAAACTTCGATTTAATGACTAAAACCTTACTGGCATCCTGAGATTGCGTTTTTCTTCAAACTCTCTACTGGGAGCAGTTCAAATAGTGTCATGTCAGACATAGGTGAAGGGGAGTGGTGCCCTCTTGTAATCTAGGTTTTAACAGGGGTGCTTAGTGGCATTCAGAAGTATCCTTACACCCAGTCTCTATCACAGCTCATAGAATAGACAATTTCTAAAATTGCAACAGTTCCTCTCCATCGTTAGCAAACTTGGCTGAAGGAGGCCCTTGGGCTGTGAGTGCCTCTTAGGGTAGCAGTAGTTACAGTGCCTGTCTGAAATCTCAAGACACTACTCAAGAGAAGTACCTTTTACTTACACTAACTGCATTCACAGATATTTTTGGAGGACTATACTTTTTACTACGGGGTATTACAAAGAAGTGACAGATGAGTTCTGTGTTTGGTTCTAATTTGAGAATTGCTTTGGGAAAAAAGAAAGGGAAACAGAATTATCCCTGACTCAGAGCAGAGCCACTAATGCTCTCTGTGCAGACTATTTGTCCTGTGCATAGAAAGGTTCAGGGCGGCCAGGGGCTGTGACCTGTTGAGCTGGCGGCTGGTCAGAGCTACCTGGGTGTCCAGCCCAGGAAAGGCTGCTAATTTAAAGCTCTTTGGGCAACCTCTAGTGCCCTCAGGTGCAGAGCCAGTTCCGCACAAAGGACATCCAAACTGACTGAAGCCCTGAGGGGGCTAAAGGAGCCCACCCTCCTAGCAGGAAGCCAGCGTGGCATTGGGGAGGATGCCAGCTGAGGCTGGAGGGAGGGCAACTCTGTCCCCAGAGATAACTTCCTGGGGATCATAGCATGTTGAATTTTCACCTAGCGTTAACTTTAGTTCTTTATTGGTGGAAAATGATTTCAAATCTCATTGTTTTAAGATCACTTAAAAATTTGAGAATGAAATTGATTCACATTGTGACATGTCCATAGCATACTTGGGCTTTTCCCTCATTGCTTAGCATTTAACTGATCTGTCTTCTTTGCCCTGCTGGTGTGTGCTTAGAAAAATGAAGAATCATTTTAATGTTATATTCAGCAGGACAAGTTGGTAGTGAACGCACTAGAAAGTTAGTATGCTTTTCAGGTTGACATTGTAGTGGTATAACCCTACAAAAGTAGATAACAGGGTTACACAGAAATTGCTTTTAGCTCTTTATTTATTTGTATGGTTTTTCTTCAGCTTGGATTTTCAGTGTTGATGCTGCATGTTATAAGGCTGTGAAGTTTGACAATACCCAAAAGAGAATGAAAGTGGAAATGAGAGGAATTTGGTAACACAGTGTTTTTAATGTGAACTTTTTGTTTAAAGCAAATGCAGCCCTGAGGATTTGGCTACTGCATATAACAACAGGGGGCAAATCAAGTACTTCAGGGTTGATTTTTATGAAGCCATGGATGACTACACATCTGCCATAGAAGTCCAACCCAATTTTGAAGTTCCATATTACAACAGAGGGTTGATACTGTATAGGCTGGGTAAGAATTTTTTTTCTTTTTGGGTTTTGTCATTGACTGTATTCTGTTACTTCAGAGGTCTCAAATATTGTAAAACTAACGTAGTAATCAAATTTTAAAGTTCTGTGAAATTTAGGTTTAGAGCTTGGAACAAAGGAAGTGTCCCTGAGTTTATTTTAGGCTTTTGATAGGCGTTATAGATCACAGCAGAGCACTGGGGTGGGAATTGGACCTGGGCGCAGGAGCCAGGGTGACCCCATTACTTTGTGCTTGTGCATTCCCAGCTGTGAAATGAAGGCAATTCAGATGATCGCCTGTGAAACTTTTCTGAGTTAAAATCTTTGAAGACACACAAGACAATAGAAAGTGAAGTTTAGATTCTTGGATTAAAGGGACCATAGGTACTGTTTCTCATTTAAAGTGTCAAAAAGAAAATTAGTTTCCTGTTTCTTAATTTTACTGCAGTTATGTAAAACAGGCGATACAGTTTTGTTAAAATTTTAAGATGATTGATAATATTTACCTGTTAAATCTCAATAAATAAACCCATAACTAATTTTAGGTGTATTATTCCCTAAGGGCACACAAAATTACTTTGATATACACATCTCTATATTATTAAGATAAAAAAGTTCCTTTACTAGAAGTGACTGAAAGCTCATAAATATAAAAGCAAAAGTACGTGTATCAAAGCCTTGCCATGAATAATATATAGAAATACTCAGTTTCTTTTCTCTTTTCCATTTTTTGGGTTCTGGTACAGGATATTTTGATGATGCTTTGGAAGATTTCAAGAAGGTCTTAGACTTAAATCCTGGATTTCAAGATGCTACTTTGAGCTTAAAACAGACTATTCTAGACAAAGAAGAAAAACAAAGAAGAAATGTTGAAAAAAATTATTGAGATTTTTAACTTAATGGAAGTATTGATTCATGATCCTTACATCTGCATCTAGTTATCAGTAATTTAAAATAGATATTGAGCTATTTTGATTTATATTTAAGAAATTAATACATTAGCACTGAAAGTTAAATAGTGTGTTTAAGGTAATTTCAGGTTGAATGGATTTTTTTTATGAAGTGTAAATAATACCAATGTATAAGTGTATATTATTATATTAAATATTACAGTAAAAAGGAATGTGTGGTGTTTTCCTCAGTAAAACTATTTTTGTGATTTTTTTATTCTCAACTATTTAAAAAATGTTACATCTACAGAAAAGTTGAAAGTATAATAAAATAAACTCTTCAGTTAAATTCATGAGTTGTTAATATTGTGCCATATTTGCTTTTTCTATTTAAATATATAACTTTTTGCTGAACCATTTGAAAATAAGGTGCCGAGGTCACAGTACTTTGCCCCTAAATATTTCAGCCTACATTTTCTAAGATTGAAGACATCCTCCTTTATAACCACAACACCATTATAATACCTAATAAAATGAATAATTCTGTAATGTCAGCCATATCCAGCCCATATTCCAAAGTGTGTAGATTTTTATTTGGATCTAGAGTCAATCAGGTTTCATTGCATTTTTTATTTTTAATGTCTCTCTCAGTTCTTTTAATCTAGTCACCTGTCCATTTTCTCCCCCTAGCATTGGCTTTGAGAGTAAGGCTGTTTTATATAGCTAGGCTAGTGGGACATAATATTTAGGGTTAAAAATAAACATGTCCTACCAGAGAACAATTTGAAAGAGTTCAGCTTGAATTACACTTGATTTTCTCAAGTAATCATTGATAAAATGGGTTAAGATTTAAATATTGAACATAGTTTTCTGTCTCTGGATAATGGCAATTGTTATCAACATTTACTGAATACTATAAGCCAAGCCAAGCACTGTTCAAATCATAATAATTTGGTGATCAGGTAGGAATGTATAAAAAAGTGAGGAAATGACAAAAAGCACTTACTAAATATAAAGCTTAAAAAAAATCTCTTATTTGGGTGCTGCCAACAATTAGGCCCTTATGAGGCCATCAAACACCGGGAAGAACTTGAAGGGAAAACAAACTAAAGGCAGCCATATGCTATCTATATTTTTTGTTCTTTATTGTTTGGCTTCTAGAGATTTAGACCCTGCATCTCAGATCTCCCAAACTAGTTTATTACTGCTATGGAAAAGCTGTTCTATAGTGGAAATTACCCTAATCAGGAGAAAGGAAAGTGTCTTTGCTTCGTGTCTCCAGAGGAAGGCGCAGAGTAACTTCTGTGGCCTCAGATGTAATCATCAGCAGCCTTAAAATATTTTTTTTTGTATGTGTATGAGTAATCTCATGAGGCAGAAAAAGTAATTGCCCTGTTTGTAGCTCATAAGCAATATCTGGCAAAATACATGGAGAATTTGGGCTATAGGTAAGTGAATATTAAGAGGAAATTAAGTTTCATGGCCTAGAAATAAAGTGTGTTTCTGGAATTATCCACACTTTCCAAAATGGTTTATCTTATATTGGAAATCTAAAAAAAGTTCTAAAATTGCATGAAAATGTAGAAAAATCCCTCTTAGGAAAACTCTTTAAAAAGTTCCCTAGACCTTGGGAGGGAAAGCTTTAAGCCATTCCACCCAGAGAAGCAAATGCTTAATGTTTAATTTTATTTTCTCTTGACTCATATTCTCTTTACTCTTGACGGGGATCAGATGGAATATGAAAAGGAAAAATTGTTTAAAATTTTCATGTGGTTAGATTTTATTCAAAATTTCTTCATCCTTTATCAGAAAAAAAAAACAGTCACTGAAGTTTAGAATCAGCAGTTGCTGATTGGAGACCCAGGCATTCATTTTCTCTTGTCTTGTTACTGGAAATAAAGAATAATTCATTTACCTTGTTTAGCATTGAAACTTTAGGCATTATTCAGATTCTAAGTTTCTGACTGACCAAATAATACCCTGGATATTTACCTTAAAAGACATTCATTACCATTCATATTTCCCACATTTCAGTATTTGTTATTTCCTTTTTCTAGTAGAAAAGTATGTTTTCCATTTTTTTCCTTTGTAAAAACAAAAGAATTGTGGTTTAAGGTTTCTCTTTCACAAAATGAGGTAAGATAGGATAAAATGGATTTAAGTTACTTTTGAGTTTAGAATATTACTCCTAACCGTAGTTGGAAAGTGTGGAGCTATTTTTTTTCTGAAATTTGGAACTGAATAAAACCCTTTATGATAGCAAAGCAAATATCCAAGTCAGTCTTTAGTCATTATCTACTTGCTCTTTTGCTCTTTTTTGGTTTTCTGTTTTCACTGGCTTCTCTACCCTCTCAATCCTAAATGTAGTCTTGGCTCCCTGCCATTTTGCAGGTCTTAAATCTTTCTCGGTGGGCCTGATATATTTCAACCCCACCTACCACTCAGCATTTACACTGATTCGTGTCTCAGTGTCTCCCTTTCTGCCAAGTCCAGCCCCCTTAAAAATTTAACTTGAAAGTAAACAGTTCCTATATAAACCGTAATAGCATGATTTTTTTTTTCTTTTTTGAGACAAGGTCTCACTCTATTGCCCAGGCTGGATTGCAGTGGCTTGATGACAGCTCACTGCAGGCTTGACCTCCCTGGGCTCAGGTGATCCTCCCACCTCAGCCTCCTAAGTAGCTTGGACTATAGGCATGCACCATCATGCCCAGCTAATTTTTGTATATTTTGTAGAGATGGGGTTTCACCACATTGCCTAGGCTGAGCATAAATGTTTACTATGCAGTTTTTTGTTTTATTGAGAATAATTCACATATCATGTAGTTCACCCATTTAAAGTATACAGTTCAGTGGTTTGAAGGTAAATACAGAGTTTCGGCACGATTTTTTCAAGGTTTTTGGGTATCCTGGTCTTGAATGCAAACTGCACTTAAAGTTACAACACAGAAAAAATTTTATGCAAATTAATGACTAAACATGAGAGTGCTTCAAAAACAGTTCATGCACAAAACAGATCTAAGAATCCTAAAAGGTGCTGCTTCTGGCTTCATCCAAATATGTGGCACGATTCCACTTTGTCTCATGTGATGTTCTCTAACTAGAAATGTGTTGAGTAAATCAGACAGCTCATCTCTGCCTGAAATGGATGCTGAATTTAGTGTGTTTAGGTTAACATATTGCTATGCTAAACAAATTGTTGACAAACGTGGAATAGCTTTTCAAGAGCACAGTGAAAAGTTGACTGAATATTTGCTATTTAAGCTAGGTGTGTAATTTTAACAATTTCTATATAAGTTCACATTTTGGTGTTTTCTGTATTTTTTAAAAGTGACAGTAAATTGTGAGAACAGAATGCCCATAATTTAAAATGGCAGTTGGTAAGAGAAGGAGAGAGAGATTTGTTAAATTTCATATCTAATGTTAGGGGACTTCAAAGGACACCATTTCACTCTACAGAAAGGAGAGAAGGATAAGTATAATTTCTGTTTTTGGAAAAACAAAGCAATTGATACAATTAAAACACATAGTTTATCCTTTTTAAAATCACAAGGTAAAAGAACACATCACGTAGCAAGACAAATTATAAAGCAAGCAACCTGTAAGGAAGCCCTGAAACTCAAATTATGAATGTGGATATAAAAGTAAAATAGGAACACAGCAGTGTGATTCCAGGTTTATATGTGTCATCACAAAATTATAAATACAGCAGTTTAGTGAAGGTCTTATTTTGCATAGAGGATGAAGCTAAGAAATTCAGTAACTTGTGCAAGGTTATGTCCAAAATCCCTATAAATATTTGAAACTGCCTTGGGTATCAGTGTTTTTGCTGCTGGCATCAACTCACAGCAGATATGTGGACTATTTTTTTTTTTTTTTTTTGGTACTGATACAAAATTTAAATTGCTCATAAAATGTTTTAGTACCCAGCAAAGTGAGAATCAAAATAATGTTAAAATACGTTTTTAAATAATGGAATGTTATTGCAATGCCCACATTGCTTGGTGGTAATTTTTCTTATTAAAAACAGACACAAAATATGGTGAAAAGCAGATTAATTTTAAGAGCAAACTCCATTTGGAAACTAGATTGCTACAGCTGCCAATATGTAAATTTTATCTTACGTCAAAAAAAGCATCCAATACTTAGAAATAAGGCAAAAGGATTTGCATGTCATTTCAATATCATACCAGCAGACCCAGTCAACGACTGTTTAATTCTCTCGGGGGGCCGTGTGTGTGCCTTTGATTTTCTATTTACTCTTGATTAGGGCCCAGACTCTGGGAGGTTGCATATAACTTGCAGATTTTTGTCCAGAGGAGATGCAAATGAACTCTGGTAGAAAAGATAACCCTGAAGGTTTTGGCTGTATTGCCCTGAAGAACTTTAACCAGTTTTGTATTTAACCTAGCAACTTTATTCTCAAATTCTTTCCTCATGGGCCATAAGTACTCAGTTATGCTAATACTCTTTTACCACGCTGGCGGTTCTCTATTAATGAGTTAAACATTTTTCAGGTTTTCATTCTATATTCTTGTAAGAATCATGCTTAACTTTAAAAAACATTTTGGCCCTACTACTGAAGAAACAACAAAAAACCCTTGGTATGGTTTGGCTGTGCCCCCACCCAAAATCTCATCTTGAATTGTAAGCCCCATAATCCCCTCGTGTCAAGGGAGAGACCAGGTGGAGGTGATTGAATCATGGTGCGGTTTCCCGGATGCTGTTCTCGTGATAGTGAGTGAGTTCTCACGAGATCTGATGGTTTTTAAGTGTTTGGCAAGTTCCTCCTTCTGTCATTCTTCTTTCTACCGCCTTGTGAGGAAGGCGTCTGACTTCCCCTTCTGCCATGATTGTAAGTTTCCTGCGGCCTTCCCAGCCTTGCTGAACTGTGAGTCAATTAAACCTCTTTTCTTTATAAATTACCCAGACTCGGGCAGTTCCTTATAGCAGTGTGAAAACGGACTAATACAACCCTTAAGCAGAATTTATTATTACATAGTCACATTATTTCTAGCAGGAATAAGAGCCAAGGGGGACTGAAAAGCTTCAGTTTTTTTTTTTTTCTTCTGTTACCTATTTCTTTTTTTTTTTTTTTTTTTTTGAGACGGAGTCTCGCTCTGTCGCCCAGGCTGGAGTGCAGTGGCGTGATCTCAGCTCACTACAACCTCCACCTCTTGGGTTCAAGGGATTCTCCTGCCTCAGCCTCCTGAGTAGCTGGGATTACAGGCATGTGC